TTGGAACCCCTCTGGCTAACTGGCCAAGACAAAATTAGAAGCTTCTAGTTCAATGAGAGACCCAGTCCCAAGGGGACAAGGTGGAGAATGATAGAGCAGGACTTCTGATGTCTTTCTCTGGTCTCCAATGTACACACACTGGTGCACACATGACTGTGCACACACATGCATATACTGCTCCTGCCCTCCCCCACATACACACAAAGATCAATATATAAATAAAAAAGAGAGGACATGTCTCAAGTAGAGGGCCATGAGTAATAGCGTCAAACGTCACTGACGTATCCAGTGAGAGGGAGTGAAAATTACAGAGGAGGCTTCACAGCTGGACATGTTAGTGATCTCAAGAAGATCATAACTGGATGGAGTGGTGATGGGGAAAGCCTGGCTTAAGAAGATTCTGAAAGAATAGTATAAAACTTGGAAACCTCAAGAAAAGCCAGGTTTTGAGGTTCCTACAAGAGGAGACAGAGAAGTGAGATGGAAACAGGTAGACAAAAAAAAAATCAAGCCCAAGGTTTCTCTTGTTTGAGTGTAGTTAAAAGAAATTGCGGTTTGTGTGGTGATACAAGTGTTCTAGCAGACAAAGATGGATTAATGTTTTAGGACAGACAGGAAAAATTCCTTAAGCAATTTTGTTGGGTTGGCAAACAGTGCTGGTATCTAGTGTCCACACAGATCTGGCATCAGCTAAGAGACAGCATATTTTCTTTAGTAGTGACAGGAATACAGCTTGTAGGGGAGTTTATATAGGGTTGAGACCCTGTATACAATTTCTTTTGGTTCTTCAGTTTCCCCACAAAGGAGGGAACACTATCTCTTAAAATCTCAATAACTGTTCAAAAGAAAATATGGCCCAAGTATAAGGCTCTACAAATATTTGTTCAAAAAATAGAACCAAGCCAAGCATAATACAGAAAGTATGCCGTAAATGTTCCTTTTTAAGGAGTTTTTCTAAGTGGACCAGCTGACTAGAGCTTTTCAAAAGGGAGTCCATGTCTTTTCAGCTAAGGCTTCTTTTTCCATGACACACATTTCTATGGCCAACAGGGTCTAGGATGCTCTGCTAATCTTCATGACTATTAATAATTAGGGATCTCTGCATAACGAGTTTTCAAGCCTGGCTTTTGTGTGCCTGGATATAGACAGCATTCATTACAAGTCACATGTGAGTAATCTGTATGAGATTACTTTCCCTCAACAATCCTCTCAATAAGAGGGCTGTCGTCTGCCACCTTGTAATCATTTCTGGTTTAGTCATTTTGTTGATATGGTTGTATGACTTAAAGAAAAATGAGAAGCTAAGAGCTTGGGGCATTTATGTCCATGATAAGTTCATATACTTACATCAAAGCTAGGGACAACTAGGTGACTTAAAAGTGAGAGAGAGGGGCATGGTGGCACTAGGAAGGCTGAGGAGGAAGGACCATTGCAAGACGGGGGCAGCCTGCTCCACCAGCACATTCCAGGAAATCTAAGTCAACACAGTAACACATTATCTCAAAAAGAGAGGCGGGGAAGAGGGAAGGAGAGACAGAGACAGAAAGACAGAGAGACAGAGAGAGAACTTTTAACCTAAATCATTTCTTCTCTGGAAAGAAAGAAAGAAGTGGAGGATGAAAGAAAAAGCCATGTCACTTTCTGGGGAACAGAAACTGTATCCAAGAGTTTTGCTTGAAAAAATATATATAAAGTACAACCTAGCAAGGGGCTGCATAAGTTCAGTAATTACCTTAGTTTGATGTCCATAATGATATACCATAAGCTAGGTGATTTACAACCAACAGAAATTTATTTCCCATGGTTCTAGAGTCTGGATGTCCAAGATCAGGGTGCCAGTATGGTTCCTGTAGTTTGCCCTTGTCTGAGTTACAATGGCTAGCTACTCCTTGTATTTTAACATGGTGGAAAGAGGATGAGAGTCGTCTGTGGGGTCCCTTTTAAAAAGGAAGCTACTCAACTCATGAGGTTTCTGTCCTCATGCTCTGTTTCTTCTCCAAAGGTTCTACCTCGTCACCTTAGGTCTTAGGATGCCAGCATATGAGTTCTGGAGGGACTCAAGTCTTCAATATATTACAATAATAAACCACACTTACATAAGAATGATGCTTTAGAAATACGGTTGGAGACCAGGCATGGTGGTATACACCTTTGATACCAACATTTGAGAGGCAGAGGTAGGCAAATCTCTTGTGAGTTCTAGGACAGCCAGGACTACACAGCAAAACAGGTCTCAATCATCTCCCTGCACCCTCCCACCAACTTGTTGTTGGGAATTTTTACTTTGATGATTAAAGCAAAATGTTGAGGACTCATGTCAGTATTGAACTCACCGGATGGTAGTAGAAATGAGATTACTGTATTAAAATATTTATATTATACTACGTGGCCCATGCTAACATTAAAGAAACTATGTTAACATTATAAGGAGCCCGAGCTCTTTAGGAAATACCCAGTAAAACTGTCAAAATTAGAGAACTGCTCTTCATTAGTTTTTTTTTACTTTTGCTTTTAAGAAGTGGGCATGGAAGTTTCCTACAGCCAACATTATTTTATTGAGAACCAAGATTTAGCCACAGAACTACTCAAGAGCCACGTGGGTGCAAACACATCATTCACTTTTATATGTTGGACACTAGAGGAAGTATCTTAAAAGCACATTTGGTTTGGTTCTTGTGATAGGCCTGTACAATAAGTTGTATTAACCCAGTTGTATGGGTGAGGAAATTGAGTTGGGGAAACACCATTAAGTACTACAATGGGAAAGCTCTCTGCAAATTGTTAAGTAAATTAAAAGACTGACCCTATCTACTAAGCTGCCTATAAAAAGAGCAAAATCCTGGCCAAGGTCACCGTGGGATTTGATTCCTAAGCTCCAGGCTTCTTTTCACTCTTCTCGGATATTGAATTGCTCATCTCAATCCACTCCAAACTCAGACACCTGCTACTGGTTCGGTCAGATCCAGGAAGTCAGCTTGTTGGAAGCAGGTGATAACTGTTGGTCATGGCATTCAGTCCCTGTTTCTGAACACGTGTGCAGATGCTCTGGCTCTGGTACTTATCAAGGTTGAGGACAAAGGAAAATCATGTGGGAAACCATTTGTGTCCCAGAAAACCATATGTGGTTTTCTTCAGAACTTGTTTCAACATCAAATTCGCCTTGTGCTGGCTGATGAAACACAGAGCGTTCCCTCCCTCTTCCTATAATAATGACAAAATGAGGAGGGATGGGAAGCCTAATTGTTTTTGTTTGTTTTGTTTTGTCTTCATATTTAGAACGTGAGGATATCATCTAGATCAGTAAATGTGTTTTTCTTCAAGGGGAAAGCCGATTGCTGTGGGTTCTGGTAACTTCTTGGAGAATTGGAAGGATGTCACACCTCATTTATTAATGGTAATCAGTTGTTGAACGTTGAAGAGCTTCATTCATGAATGAAGAACACATTGGCTGACAGAACATTTTACAAATGTTATTTCGCACCTGCTTTTCTTGTGGCACAAAAAACAAACAGTGTAAGCACTTTGAAAACTTAATAGGGAAACGGTGAGCCTCCATGTTTTACCCCTTTCGGGTCGGGTTTTTTTTTCTTTTTTTTAAGCTGTGATGAAATAAACCTCACACTCAGTCTGAAACTGGCCACCTCATGTGGGAGAAGCCATGGCAAGTATCGAAGTGGTTCATTCTTTCTTTGACTTGGCTCAGGTTGGGCAGAGTATTCTCATTGAGGAATGGTGAGGACAACTGCCTGGATTTCTATTAGGATTAGGGAGGAAATAACTAGGTGCAGATATATGAAGAATCTCCCCTCTCACATTTTCACCGGGGAAATAAACAAGCCCACCCATCTACAGAGGCCAAGTTACAACAGGAAAAAATGGAAGGTGGTTCTAGCACAGAGCTTAATGGCTAAGAGTAGCTGGAGGTGGAAACCAGCTACCTAGGGGTTGGGATAGTCTTTATACTAAAAGACTTTAAAATCTGCTTCTCATCCATTCTGGACAACCTCCTGTTCTTGCATCCAGAAACAGTTCTCTTCAGTGAGGACTCCGTGGTTCCAGATGGAACAAAGGTCTTCCCTCCTCCATACCTCAAGATTTGTTTATAAAATGCAGACATTTTATACTTGTGCTCCAAGTGGGTGAACAGGAGGACTTACATGTTCCATAATATCTCGTTGTCCAGTGACCAGCTCACCGGTTCCTTTTAGCTTGTTGTAGGAGGTCTGAGAGTGGGAATGAAAGACAGTGAAGGAGGGTGAGATCCAAACTGGCTTGTTTGGACTTTAGGTCATCCCAAGAGCCCGTGGTTCACTCCCAGCTCCCCCCACTCTGGGGCGGCCTCCACCCCACAGTCCCTCAGACACATTTAGCGTTTGTTGTCTGTGGTAGTTCAGTCTTGTTCTGAAGTCAGGGGAATGCTCAGTCTCATTAGCATTCTTTCAACACATGCATTTGGTTGTCACTCCTCTGTTAAGTGCTGAGTCACTTCGACAGCCTCACAGCCTTCCACAGACACCTCATTCTCTCTACTTTCATTCTTAAAAAGGAAAAAGAAAAAAAAAAAAAACCCAAACAGCAGCAACAACAACAACAACAAAAATCTTCCTGAGGATGGGGAGATAGCTTAGTTGGTAAAATGTTTCCTTTGCAAACACTAGGAACCTGAGTTCAATCCCCAGTATGCCTGTAAAACGCCTGACATGTTGACATGGGCTTGTCATCCTCACACTGGGGGAGTGGAGGCAGAAAGAACCCTGCGACTCTCCAGACAGCTGGCTGAGCCTGATTGGTGAGCTCTGTGCCATTCTTGAGGATGGCACCCAAGGTTGTCCTCTGGTCTCTATACATATATGTGTATCCACAAGCACATGGACACATGGAAACACATAGAACCCCCCCCCCCCCACACACACACACACACATACTTCTACACACACATAAATAAATAAATAAATAAATACTTTCTAGAAGTCTTCCTTTATTTTTTTTTTAACCAACAGACTTATGTTTGGAAAGATACTGAGAAGTTTTGGTAAACTTGGCTATCTCACGTCTCCATAGGTGAGTATAATTTATATTTCTATTATGCAAGCATCACTCAAGAGTATTTTTCCAAATTCATGTGAAAGAATTTGGAAATTCTGCCTTCTTTGATCTTTAAGACACCGACAGTTTTTGAGAGTTAACCACTAAGATTTTTGATGAGACTTCTGTGCTTCTTGTGCAACACTTCTTGGGGGTAATCTGACGTGTGCCCTTCCCCTTGAACAAGAGCTGGGTTTCCTCCTTGGCAGAACGTTCTAGCAGCTGGGTCTCATTTGCTTTGCAAGGACATCTGAAGGCATCGCTATTTTGGAAACTGCTTAGCATATGGTATAATTGTTTTAAAGTACTTTACAGTTTGCATGGTGCTTTCCCATTATTTCATGCAGTCATTTCTCATAGATAGCCAAGATGTTTTATTTTTACTTGTTTTCAGAAAGGAAAACGGAAGTGCTAAAGAAATAATACATCAGCTTGGCAGGGCAATTTATCTCACTCCTGAATTAATCAACAGATACAATCTCTTCTTCAGATCCTTTAATACCTACGCCCAGAAAACCTCATGCCTTTTGACCTAAATAGGTAGACAGACGTGTGCTGGACCTCACTGGCACATGGTGTGGTTAGTCTTATGTCTGACCTCTCAGAGTATCCTGTATGCTTAGGCTAGGCATTGGGACATAGCTTGAAAGGGATGCCATGTAGCTATTTTTCTTAAAGATGGTATGGTGGGCAGTTCAAAGCACCAATTTTAGAATCAAATTGTGTGGATTTAAAGCCACCCCTCTTAACCTTTATGAGTTTTGTGACCCCAGTGAATGACTTAACCTTTTCTCATCTATGAAATGGGAGCAGTAGTTGCTACCTCATGGAAGTTTTATTGTGACATTGACTTGACCTAATCCAGCTAAAGTACCAAGCATAGTGTGCTGTTTACAGGAGACTCTCAGTAAATGTTAGCCACTCCCGTATTGTATATGAAAGGTGACCATCTGGTCATTTTTCCTGAACTTTAGTCAAGTTTGTTTGTAGTCAAGATTTGGGCCTGGTTATTGATCTTCGGAAGTAATTGGTAGGGTTTAGAGAACCATAATAGTGACAACTTCTCAGTCATTCTGCTCTTTAAAGCACAAAGTGTGATGTTTCCATTGCTGAATAAATACAGTGTAGACAAGGACCTGGTCATCGATGGCCTGGTATTTCAAGGCAACTCTTTTGGAATGATAGCACACAAACAAGGCAAAAAGATGGCATGAATGTCTTTAAGTTCGGGGTGAACATGGGGTATAGAGGAATAGGGATCTGGTCAGTTTCTGGAACATACAGGACTGAGTGCCATTTCTCTGATTTATATGTGGGGAAACAGAGGCATAGAAGAAGAAAACCCCTTGTCCAGTGTCTTAGCTTCTTTTCCTATTGCTTTGATCAAATTCTCTGACAAAAGCCACTTAATCAGGAATGAGTTTATTGTGACTCACAGTTCAAGTCATAGTGCATCATGACAGAGATATCAAGGTAGCAGGGACTTGAAGCAGCTGGTCACAATGTATCCACAGTAGAGAAGCAGAGAGCAAGGAATATGTGCTGCTGTTCAGTGCCCTTTCTCCACTTACACAATCTAAGGTCCCAGTTGGGGAATGACACCACCCACAGTGGGCATGTCCTCCTAAATCAGTTCACATAATCAAGGTCGTTCCCCATAGGCTTGTCCAAAGGGCAGTCTTCCAGGTGATTCCAGATACTTTCAAGTTGACAATTAATGTTAATCATTACAACTTGTTCACCCAGTGGGTTTCAATTATACTAGGCTCTTCTGGGTGCTGAGATGTATGTATCAAAGTGAGGTGGTTCCTATAAATGGAAATCACAATTCCCTGGAGAGACCAATTTGTTCCCTATTTGCCCAGAACATTCCCATGGCAAGAGGTATGTCCTACAAACCAATTCAGTCTTGGGAAAGTCCAAGAGTGTCAGTCATCCTAAATACATGCTGCTTTTGTTTTATTGTAATCATCACAGGCACACTAGACATGGAGGTGGCTTCACAGTTCATGAACTAAATAGTATGATCAATTCTGAATATATTAGGTCCAAATAGTACTTTAGGTTATTGGAGAAGAGCTGTCTAAAAACAAGTAATGTGACTGTAAAAATCCTATTGATGAGAATTCTGTGTTTTATATCATGCTGGTGCATTCATGTAAATCTGGTTGAAAGTACATGTAATCATATCCATCCAGAACATGGAGAGTAAGTGCCAGACATCATATGGGTCACTTATTTAATCTTTAAAGGTTACATTTTACACCCAAGACATGTTTCAGAAGCGATCACTGTTTAGGGTACATTAATTACTAATTTGTCTGAGAAAACATGAAATGAAAACAAAATAATCTGAGAAAGATAATGTAACTGACCATCTTCTTGGTACCTTAATATTAAAAATGGGATGGGAGAGAGCTCAGTTGGTAGAATGCTTGTCTTACAACCCCAAGGACCTAAGTTTGATCTCCAGCACCCATGTAAAAGTCCAAACATGGTGGTGTACTCTTGTGATTGGAATACTGAGGCAGAAGAGCCAAGCAGATCCCTAGGGCTCACTCGCCAACCATGCCAAGCTAATTAGCAAGCCCTAGTTTCCAGTGAGAGACCCTGCTTCAAAAAATTAGGTGGGTGGCTCATAAACACACACACACACACACACACACACACACACACACACACACACACACACACACACATGCAAATACATGCAGACATACAGTAACACAAAACAGAAAATAAGTAAATGTATACCAAAGTGTAAGAGCACATTGCTAGGATTTAACTTGAGCCGGAATTGGTGACCCTTAGATGAACAAAATTATTAAATAAGGAGCCCACTCAGGAACTAGGGCAGTGTCCAAAACCCAACTCATGCAGTGTGTTCTCCTGTCATACATAGCAGAACCTTGAAACACACAAGTGTGCATTTGCAGAATTCACGAGTTTCTTGGTTATTTGTGTAGAAGCAACCAACCAGAATTCAAATCAATGTACGTCCTTTAACCATCAAAGTGAGGCTTCCTGAAGATGGGTGAAGCAAAGATAAATCAAATGTATGTAATCTATATTGGCATGGACAAAAATATTAGAAAATCTGGTTAGACTCAGCTCTTTATGCTAATAGAGAGAAGTAATGTTCATCTAAAGAAGACTTTTAGTATATAATGGCTCATTTTGTGCTTGGAGCACACAAACTTCTGACCCTTGGAAACTCTCTGAATTTGTCCCACAACTCGTTCTTTACCCCACAGGACCTACTAGAGCCCTGGGCACATGGTGGACATTTAGTAAACTCTTAAATTATATTAAATGTCCTTTGTATTAATAGTAATTCCATGTAACATAATGAAACCAAAGTGAGTGGGGCATGGCTTACCATTCCACATTCAGCTTTTCCCCAAGGAACCAACTACTTTACCTCTCAGACCGAAGCAAAGAACTCATTCAGAAGCAGAGCTGAAGGCTGTTGGAGTTATTGTTGTTTATATTTCCCTGGACAGAGGAGTAATTATATTGGCTTCAAAGGCCTTTTCTTCTACCTTCCATCTCGGCCTGGCGGTGCAGGAAGAAGGTTGCATTTTGTTCCTGAGTCTTGCAGATGGAAACCCAGAGGAGGGGACTGTTTGCCCAAGGTCACAGAGTTAAACCTTCTCAGATATTTGCTAACCCTGACTGAATTTTCCCAAACCTCGGCAGAGCATAACTGTAGATAATTTCTCTGGCCTGGTTTTAGGTTAGCCTCTCCTATCATGTTCATCCTGATCCTACCACACCTCAAACAATTCTACTTCCGTCTGTTGCTTGCCAATGGTATGTTCTTTGCTCTTGGCCAAGGCCCCAGCACCTCCACTCTAAGACTGTAGTCAAGGGAATCTTCCAGATGGTTCAAAGTGCTGCATGCATATGAGGATATAAGGGGCAGCTCTGCTGCCTTTATCACAGAGATGCATGACTCCAGCCTTGCACTGATTTCTATCAGGCCTCAGTAGCATGAGTCAAGGCTTTGCTTTATGGGTAATTTAGCTGGTGAGGCAAGCACCCTGAAATTCATGAGGAGAGATGTAAACTGGAAAGAACCAAGATCATAGCTCAAACAGGACCTTCTGGAAGACAGATTGCCTATGGCTCTTAGAACATTGTCCCCTTGATAGCAGTGATACAGACAGAAAGTAGAAAAATGACAGTGTCTTCTGAGGGGCATATGCTGGCCAAAGATTTTTCAGAACTCGGCCTCCCAGAGAGGAAATCTGGTGGATATTCATCTAGGCCCCTTCCTTTAAATCTTGATTACCCTTGGCTCTGTGAGGAGCTGGGATTTATGGACCAGCACAAGTGATTCTTATATAAGGATGGAATCTTGGGTGTGATAAATTTGGTCTTGAGAAAGCTCAGCTCAGATGCTGCAGATGGTCGTGTCAGGGGGACAGTTAGAGAGTGGTAACCTGCTGGGCTATGGGCTGTGTACAAAATGGCTACTCAGTTCAGAGCTGTCTGTGCCAGTTTTCCAGGGCCTCAAGGTCATGCCCAAGGACACTTCAGGCTTGACATTCATACTAACAATTTTGTCTGCTGCTCCTTTGGTTGCCTCTCCTGGCTTACTGAGGATCCTAAAGAGACAGACCTTTGTGATTCAGGTCATGGTCTTATGAGGACTCCTGGGAAGGGCCAATTCTATGTATGCAAAGAATTGCTTTACAGAGACTTTCAACAGCTGGGTTGAGTTGGCCGAGGAGATGTTGTTTTATTTTTTAATATGTGTGTGTTATGTGTGTGTGCGTGTGCATGCATGTCACTGCTCTCTGCTCTTGTTTACCCCACTCTCTCTATGACCTCACCATCTCCCTTCCTGCCCTTTGCTGATTTCCTTCCTATCCGTCCCCCACATCCCTCCCCTCTGCGCAGCATCATGTTATCCTCAAATAGGGATACTCGAACTGCTTCCTTCCCCAGGGACCCTTATCTCATTCCTGACA